ATCTGGCAAGAGTCAAGAATGTGGTAAGAATTGGGGGATTCTTGACATAAATTATGTAAAAAATGCATCAACTTAAATGAGTTAAGATAACTTCTTTGTCTGACACGGATGCGCTACCAACTCAGACACCTTCCGGCCATTGCCGACAAAGAAATAGCCAATGGATTTAGCCACCCTTGTTGCTCTAGGTGTCACCCAACTTACAAAAATGTGATATACCTCTACCTACAAGGATATAGAGAGAGAAGCCAGAGGCCCCAACCATCATAAGTAAAGAAACCAAACTTGTTAGTAAGGTTAAAATAGACTACTGTAAACAGGCAATTAGAGTTGTTTGCAAGGTCATGCCCTTTGTACAGAATAAGGAATATCAATAAAGAGGCAGGTGATGTGACCAGTCGACAGTAGCTACCCTATGACTAAAGATTTCACCATTCACACAAAGTGCCGAAGCTAGTGTGTGTATACTAACTCAAACTTAATGATTAATAGATGGACAATATCAAAGTCAAAGACAATGATATCTTAGAGACTTGATTATCAAGGATTAAAGTTTAGATTAAAACACAAAAGTATTCCAAATAAGTTATCATATGATACACTAGAATTATAGTATAAGAACCACCACGATCACTATAGTTGGAAAATATAGGATTTACTATCTAACAAAATTCAATAGCCAGTGTATCATTAATAAAACTTAACTATCAAAGATTTCATATAGCATGCTAAATAATTTATAAAAGACTATTGAAAGAATACAAAGTATCACCAATTAGCAAGCAAGATGCTCGTGAAAGTTTCACTCGAAGGAAATAACATCCTAAACTATCAAAACTAATTAAAGCAACAATCAACAAAACAAAATGAATGTTGCAAAACTAATAAACATAGCATTCATATTAATTATTGCACTAACTAATCTAAATAAATTCCAGTCACAATAAAAAGGAACTCAAGTTGCTTAAGCAAGCGTTAGCAATATCCTAGTGATATCTCAAACCCAAAAGACCAATCCAAAAAAAACCACAAAAAATTTGTAGTAATGCGAAAGCCATAAGCTATCAAAGAGAATAACTAACTATCATAAAAGATTATCAATTATCTCATTAATAGAGAGATGCATAATTATTATCGAAGAAAGAATTTACCATCCCGAAGAACGACAAATCATTTTAGATAATAGTCAATCATCACCAATGATTACCAGATGCAAATATTAATATTAACATAAGTTATGAGCCTGAATGCCTTTCCTAACAACTTCTAACAAATGGACCATAAGTATGAAAACTCAAGGAACCAAATGCTTAAAGAAGCATATAGCCAAATCTTGCTTAACAATGATCATAAGTTTCACATAAACCAATTTCAATGCTAAAAAAAATATCATGGTATAACCCACAACATTCTCTTCAACACATCCATAAGCTAAACTTCATAATAACAACACGAATGAAAAGGATATTTAAATCAATCCAAAAGCTAAGCATAACAAAGCTATGCTCAATAAATGATCCGTAAACGATCCTCCATGAATCCATCTATAGCTAAACGTAACTCACTTCATAACAAGCACAAGAAGAATCATCAATGATCAATATAATTTCAACTCAAATCCAATAAATAATTAAACATTCCAATATCAATTATTAGCTCTTCTTCTCATAAAGCTAGCATAGCCTACGACAATATCACTTTTCAAGGAAAAGTTAAAACTCAACCCCTACTAAACAATCTCATCTAGAATACAACTAACTTAATTTGCCACTCAGCTTGTTTGAACGCTAACATAGTTGCTAATTAACAAATGCATGAATGCCAATAACACAAAGCTACAACCAAATCATTAACACTATCTACATCAAAACTAATGAAACTCAATATCAATTTTATGGACATCTCTTCCCACTTAAATATCAATATCAAGGGCATTATTTTAATGCCATTAACACCATAACAAAACTAAAAGAAAGTAATGCCACCCAAAACTTTCTAACAACTAAGCTAACCAAAGTTTAAAATACTTTACTCAGTATCCAAGATTAATTCTTTAACAAAACTCAGTTATGGATAACACTTCATCAAGGAGTGAATCACCATATCCAAGATGCATCAAAATCCAACACCATGGACTAAACGTAATCAAATGATATCAACAAAGGTAAAATTGATAAGCCAACATGGAAAACCCATGTAAATCTAACTGTAATGGTTTTTGCCCTTTATCCTATGGTGATTTACCATACAATAACACCACGAAGCAGAACCTAAACCCTCTTTATGCCACATGACACATGCCACGTGTCATATGCCACGTGTCCAAAGGACAATGGTGCAGAACCTGAGGTTTAGGGCCTTGGGCCACTAAACAAAGGAATGATGCCAAACTCCCAAGCATAGAGCCAAGGAGTGACGAAACTGGACCATGGAGCAACTCTCAAGCATACAGCCCAAGGAGCGAAGGGGCAAAAGCCTGGAGTGACTTGGAATAGTCTTAGAGCAACTAGCATCCCAATGCCAGGACCAGCATGCAAAACGGAGCCAAACTGAGTCTGGCGCTATTTTGGAGTCGGGAGTTAAACTATGCTTTAGGTTGGTTGGCCATGCCCGACCTACCCACTATCCCTACTATATATTTGGAACCCCC